AGTGAGAGAGAGAGAGAGAGAGAGAGAGAGAGAGAGCTCATGAGAGAAGACCTGAAAATCCCATCTCATGACGGGCTAATTGGCTAGTTCCATCAGAGTTGTGCTTGCAAAGAAACCTGCATTTGACTCTAAAAGTGGCTGGGAGATGAGATGAGCTTTAGAGCTAAACAGAGCTCACCACCTGATCGCTGTAATTCCCTGGGACACAAGAGGCAACAAGAATTTGGCATCTCCAAGGAGCTATGAATTCTTCCACTCTCAGGGCACCATTAACAGAATGTTTCCCTTGAAGGGTTCTTGGGAGAAGAAATGTGCAGTCCCCTCCCCACCTCTGAAATATTACCCCACACCCCATCATAAGAAAGAATGTTAAGAGGCTTTTCTTAATGAGTAGTAATCAGCCTCATCCTGCGCCTGGACCCCAGTGATGGTTAACGTGGCCGTGTTCCCGGAGTTGGCACCAGAGAATAGGTCAGGGATTCTGGAGGGCTTGCTGCTATCACGATATACCATGAGTATGGGGGCACTGCCAGGTTTCTATTGGTACCACTGCACAAAGCTATCACCAATGTTGTTCCCGGAGCAGGTGAGTTGAGCGTTTTGCCCTGGAGACACAGACACTGAGGGCGGCTGAGTCAGCACGTACTGGGCCAGAGAACCTGGGAAAAGAGGAGAAAACAGAGGGATCAATTTGCTGTTTCATTGCTGTGCGGAGAGAGAGCTCACTCTGCAGGCAGCCAGCACAGGCAGCTGGGGAAGGGAAAATCTTTTTGGATTAAAATCTTTTTGGGTTACCGCACCCGAGCAGTAGGTGAGCAGGGTGAGGAGCAGGGGGGCCCAGGCCATGGTGGATCCAGACAAGCTCGGCTCCCTGAGGCAAACGGGTCTGTGGCTGGGACCCTCCGATTCCCCCTTAAAACACCAGCACTGGGGAATGGCCCCTTCATGCAAATCTGCTTGCAGCTGATTGGCTGCCAATGTCTAAGGCCACCAGACCCATTGGGGAGGCCAGGACCAGAGAGGGAGGGGCAGCTGTCTGTATAAAGCCCCATTGTAACTGGGGTAAGAGCAATGCTTTGGGTTACCCTTTGCCAGGGGACAGTAGAGACCCCTGGAGCTGAGGACTCTCAGGCTGCACAACCGGCCACACCCCTTATTTCATGGTGCCGAGCATCCACCTGCCTGCCCCTGGGGTAACAAACCAGCTGAGATTTGTTGTTGTGGCCCCAACCCACAATCCCTGCAGTCACCTCCCCTGGTCTCTGGCGCTGGGAT